CTGATGAAAAACTTTTTGTGACTTCAATATATTAATCGTGGTTAGAAGTTGTAACCGTGCTGAAACGAATGGACCTGCTCTGACTCTGTAACCAAGGCTCTGACACAAAGGTTATTGACTTTTTAGCTTGAAAACAGCCATTCTTTTAGCTGGTCTGGTTAGTGAAATTTTGGAAACGTCGGCAGCAAGATGTTGCAACCAGATGAACGATTCAAAGGGGAGATTAAAAAGCAGCAGCATGTAATGATCAAGAACGCTGTTACCTGTTCATCCTAGCAGTGTGGATTTCTTAGGGCAGTTTTGTTTGACGTTTGTATCTAGCCTAAGATAGAACACTGCTGTTTATTTAATTTTGGTTTCCTGCTTTTGAAGAAATTAACCTAGGGAAAGTAATACAACTGTGGGGGCTTATGCTGTGCTCTGAAGGCTGCCATGGAGCTAAAGTTTCATGGCTGACAGAATGCCTTATGTCAGCTTGTCGCTAGCTGGGAATGAGACCATTGCCCGCAGATTTGTGTGCCTGAAGCTGCAGCTGAGGCAGGTTGTATTCCCGCAACCCAGAAAGCTCACCTCTATCTGGATCTCCAGAAACATTACTCTTGTTTCAGTGGATCCAGAACTGCTCCTCAAAATCCTGGATTGAGCAGGCAGGAGTGGCAGCAGTCTGCGTACGGCGGGGGCTGCGCTAACCCAGCGTCTGTCGGCTTTGTGTGGGCTGTGCAGGTGAACGTTCGCGTGTTTTCAGGTATGGCATATGTGGGAAAAAGCTCCACCTCACAAGCTCTGAAGCAACAGGAGGTGAAATATGTCCTGAAAATGATCAAAACCCTCCTGACAAAAACTCAGCACAACAAACAAATCTGGCTCTTGTTCTCAAGCCGTATATGTTAGCTAATGCTTGTCACAAGGGAGGCACCAAAGATAAAGGAAAGCGATCTTTGCTGCAAAACCTCGATTCTGCTTCTTCTTTCTCCCCGTCTTCCCCCTTTTATTTTAATCCCTTGCATTTCAAATAGCAATTTATATCCATTTATATCCTGTGTATATCCTGTACGCCTTATCTCAGGTAAGATAAAAACAGTGGCTTCACTCCATCAGCATAATCAGTTGTGTTAATATTGCTGATAGCAGGCCTGGCTCAGTGCTTACATTGCCCCATACGGGCTGTGTCTGTGCAGGCACGGCTAAGGGATTCTTCTAAAAACTTCTGTACGTTTTAGAAAAGAAAACATAAAAAAACCCTCATGAGGAGATAATTTTCTCATTTTTTAAACTAAACCTGTTCTCCTTCAAATTTCAGTAGTCTTTAAAACACAAGAAACTTTTCTCAAACTGAACAACTTACTGCGTTTTGTTTCATTTTTGTTCTGCTTTCTGAAGACTGACAGAGTTCAAGTTAGTGCCTCTATAGACTCTGAAAGAAGTTCTTGGTTGCAAAGTGTGAAAAACTGTCATGTGTTTCTCTAAATATGGTAAACAAAATTAGAATTAGATGCTGGCATTCACCATCTTTGAAGAAGGAGGATTTTGGTACAGCCAAGTATCTAACAGTCCCTGTCTGCTCTGATGAGCTGCGTTTCTCCTCTGTCCCTGAAGACATCTTTACGCACTACATCTCATGGCTGGCCCGGCTGTTTTCTGCTCTATTTTCAAGCTTAATGCTTCCAAAAGAAAATTAAAGTCCTTAGGAAATGCTCAGCTCCCTCTTCCAATGTTGCTCTCATCCAGAGTCGTCTTTTCTCTTCTGGAAATATTTAACAACAGTCTTTGAGACAAACTTTCTCTTAATTTCATGCCTGAGTCATCCATCGTGTCGGCATGTATCTGTGTGTATGTTCCAGCAACCCACAGCACTTCTTTCGCATTTTCAATCCCCTTACCTGGTGTGTCTCATGGTCCTCCTCAGGGGAAAACAAGGGAGTGAACATTGAGCCAGCAATTAATAGCTGAACACGTATGAGCATCGCTGGGTCTAGGATTTCAGCATGAGCATTTTTCCCCTCCTGTTTCCAGCAGGCATTTTGCCACCTCTTAGGGCTTTCCACAAACAAATCGATGTCTCAATCAACTGAGATCACATTGTTTCTGTTCTACTGTCCTGCACACAAATAAGCTCATACGTTTTTGTACCCAGGTATTTTTCCTATCATTGTCTGACCATTTAATTTCCATCCTCACCTCGTGATCTTTTCAGTGCTGCCTACCTCATGCTAGGTTGTGCTGAGTGTCATCGGATCTTCTGGCAGCAGTTGCATTTGTTTTCTCTCTTGACATGAGCTATTTATCTCTGCTACTAAAACAATGCTTGAAACAGTTTAGAATTGCAGCTTTAGAAAAACAAGTTCTCTCTTTTTCCACTATGCACCTGTGTTTCCTAAAGGTGTTTCTAGTCAGCCTTGCTGTAATAAATTGTTTTTAGTGGCACTGTTTGCTTAAATGAACAAGGCAATCCATCCTAAATATTTAAGATCATTCGTCTTTTCTAGGAGCACAGAATCTAAAAATCTGTCTTCTTCTTCATTCTGATTGCACTTCAAACTCTTGTACATCCTTTTCTTAAAAAGGGTAGATGTGGCACTGAGGGATGTGGTTAATGGGCATGGTGGGGATGGGTTGGTGGTTGGACTAGGTGATCTTAGAGGTCTTTTTCAACCATAACTATCCCATTCTGTGATCCCAGCTATATGAGTGAGGTTCAGGAGTACCATTTGCATGTTTCATGTAGTGGTCATTCAGATAAATTTTCCTTGTGTATAGATTAGTTTCCACGTTTCCCTATTTTTGCACATGTAGAGCATCCCTTTCACTCGTGCTTCCTTCTAAGTTATTGAGGTGGGCTTTGAAAGACTTTTATGATGACAGATGTACTGAGAATTTGCTTTCGTTGCTGCTCTTAGGAATGAAATACATCACTTTCAAAAGCAGGGATTAATTTACTATATCATTCTGATTTACTTGCTTATCCAGTGAGAAGTCTGAATCAGAATTTTTTTATTTACATAACGTTAATTTGGTTGCTAGAGTTGCTGTTAGCTGAAGTTCAGCCATATCTGAATAAATGTCTTATCTGTAGCTCTGTGTAACATGTAAGAAAAAACTCTCCTTGCAGCTTTCACTGCACCTCACATACCGTGTATTATAGAAACCCTGTGCAGCCTCTTCAGTTTTCATGCCTTAAATATTATGTAAGTCTGTCTTTGGGACATGGGGTGTGTTGGTTGATCCGTGAAAGATGGGGGAGGGAAGAGGAAATCAGGGTTCATGCCATATACTTCGTCTGTTCTACTTCTCAATTTTCTGTCACTTTCATATGTCATTTCTTCTTTTTCATATTAGCGTGCTGATCGTTAGACACAAACTTAATGGATTGCAAACTAAAATTTATTACCTACAAATGCATATCTGTCTTGTTTTCTTGCACTATCCTCTAAGAGCCATGAATTTCTCTGTCTAGAAATTTAAGAGGTCTTCCTCCTCTTCAACCAAAGGATAAAATCTGCAAAAGAAACTTGTAGAAGTGACAAGGGAATCCTTGAGAAAGACATGAAGTTAAAACCAATGTATTTTTTAATGTCAAATATAGAGTGAGCTTTGCAAATCCAATCTGGAAATCACCTACGTACGAGCGCTAGTTTTGTAAATGTTTTTCTAGGAGTAACTAGGAGAGGCATTATTGCCTGAGTCTCAAGTCTCTAAAATATTTGCAAACTACTCAAAGTATTCTGCTGTAATTTTTTTCCTGTTTAGTCACTCATTGGAGCCAGCTACATTTTAATGATTGATTGCAGACACGGGATGAATGTTGGCCTGCCTCATTGAATCCATGGGAGTTTTCCTATTGACTTTAGTGAGGCCAGGATTTTACCCATGGCTTTTACAGCAGCGAAATGCAACAAACATGATTCTGTACTTCAGCTAAAATAAAACACGTGACACATTCTGCATTACAGGAATGAAAGCAAAGCTATACGCTTTCTAAAAATGGTTTTGTGCAGCTATGAGCTTTTGATTAAACCAATGTTTTTGCACCTGCTGGGGTAAAAGTCCTAAAAAGTCAAACTGCTGTCGCTGTTTTGGTTTGTATATCTAATTTTATAATACATACTGCAGTAGCCCATCCTAAATTAAAAATTGAAAGTTAAAGGGTTTTTTTTTTTTTTCATGCACTAGTAATATAACCTCTAAGTCACATGTGAATGTACCGTGTAATTTATATCGTTGTGATGTCAGCAGTATATTATGTAAGTTCTTAGCGGCAGATGGGGTTTAGTAGTGCAGACCAATTTTCGTTTTCCTTAATGTGATTTTTAGTCATTTTGTTCTAGAAAATGTCTTGTTAACCCCTTGGCTGCTGTGGCTTTTTATTTCTTCCTGATAGGACTGCTCTTTACACGTGTCTGAGTCAAATCCTACTAGAAAGTCATTATCAATGTCCTCATCCACATTTGTATGAAATCCTGATGCTGCAGCCTGGTAGCAAACACTTTACTTTCTCCTGCTGCATCACCACAATTAGTAACTTTGCAATTGCTTGGGAACTAATACCTGGTCTAGTATTAAATGGGGAGGTTGGTGGCCCTGCATGTGGCAGGGGGGTTGGAGATTCACGATCCTTGAGGTTCCTTCCAATCCTGGCCATTCTGTGATTCTGTGATATTACTTGTCATCTCCTTTGCTGCTCTTAGACTGAAAAATAGAGCAGAAATGCGACTCTCCCTGCACAAATCTTAACTAAGCAGGCTGTGCAGGGAATTACAATGAGTGTTATGAACTGGGCTGTGGAAGGCTCTGGTACCACCCTTCTGCAGCCCTCATCCCTGAGCCCCTTCATACAACTTGAGTAACGGTGGTCCTCTGTTAAGAACCATTCATGTATTTCTTCCCCCCTCTTGGGTTTCTAAGCATCCTGATATAACCGACGCAGTTAGAAGAAGCATTTGAAAAAGATTATCTGCAGATTCTTATTAATAATATTTTCCCCCCTTTTCTGTTTCAAGCAGCAAAAAAGTTAAAGTGAGTCATATGAAGGTATGAACATCTCAGTAGCATATTTAAAGATGGAAGAGCAACTTTTGTACCTCTAATATTCCTGATATCACCACAGACAGAATGGGTAAGACAGAGTCTCTTTAAAAAAAAATAATAATAGCACTTAAAATGTCTTTAAGATCTTTTTGTCGCATGAACCTGTGTTTGTTTTTGTGTTTTTTTTCAGTGCACAAATACAGCTGTTATTCCAGTCTATTAAAAAGGGATGTGACAAAATGGGACAAATTAGAATTTCTTTTTTCCTCCGTTCTTAAATATTATTTCAAAATTAGACTCTCAGAAGCATACAGAAATGCCATCTCCTTTACACCTTATTTCCCATTCTGCTCCCAAGGCTAAAAAAAACCCAACACAACCAAAATACAACAAAAAAGACTGTAAAGCCCAGCCAACTAGAAACAAGGTATGTGTGCCTCCATGTGTGTCTCACTGGAACCATGTTTTCCAGAAAATATGTTCCAAACCAGACTTCCATATTCATGCACTGAACAACAGTCTCAGTTCAGTTATAGCTAGGAGTATTCAAGAAGCACAGCACCATGACTCCTCTTTTACCAAGAATAAGGACTAACATGGAATAAGACTAATTTGGGGTAACTCAAGAAGAGCTCAAAGAGATTGTTTAAGCATTGCTCAAAGTTCAGTTAGATCGATGCAATCAGCACATCTCTGCCATGAGTTAAAAGTCAGCAAAGAGCCTCTTCCCAGTGCTGAGCTCTGTTGCTTCTCAGTAGCAGTGTGCATTGGCTTTCTCATGCTTTGTCAACACTTCACAGTTGAATTCAGTTGGGGAGTTTAATGTGGTCCTTCACAGGTAATCTTCCAGGGAATGGAAAAAATATATGGGCAAAAGTTCTGGGCTGTGGCTAAAAGGCAGTGACTCCCATTTGATAGATGATATGTAGAAATTCAAGTCAGTTCGCCTTTGCGGAGAAACGTGTCAATTAGGTCCTGTCTCAGGGTTGCACAGCATCTGTCATTGAGCCGTAGCCTGGGGCATCATTCAGAGATTGGAGAGGGGTGATGTTTCAATTTGATGTTGCAAGGAACAAGAGATGCTGGTAGGCATCTTTATTTTCCAGAAACAGAAAGCTGTGGCTTTTTGTATTATCACAGGATCAAACACACTCTCACGTTAATCCATATTATAGATGTATGTAGAAGGAATGGGGCAAGTCATTTTTCTCTCACAAAGCTCTTCTGCTGCATTGCAGCGGCTCCTCCTTAGATCTGCTCTCCTGTCCCCTGCCGAGGACACAGGAACATCATGCAGGACAGGTAGGACCATCAGATGGAGAGATATGCTGCAAGTGAAGAAATGCAGATGTGACGTGCTTGACATCCCACACTGCTGTTTCACATCCCTGTGAGGTATCACACTTCCTTTCCCCTCCATTCCGCTGGAGAAATGACAATGTTGAACAGGAACACTGCTTTCTGTTTGAATTGCAGCTATTAGAAATATTGGGTTTTTTTTTTGTTGTTGTTGTTTTTTTGGGTTTTTTTTTTTTGTTCTTTTTTTTTTTTTAAATGCTGAATACTCCCTGACTTCTGGTTAATTCTAATTATTCTCCAATTTCTGCCTCAGCTGTAAGACTAATCTGGTACTTCCTAGTAAGCCCCTGAAACCATAGCAAATACTTGGTTCCCTGTGCTCATATCCCTTTCAGTTTGTTACTAAAATAGGTAGAGATGGGATCTGAACAGAGATGTAATAATTAAGGAACCAAGTGTTGCATTAAAAATACCAGATTTATATTTTTTCAGGATATTACTGGGATTGCTATATATTAAATAACATAATTTTATCCCCTTTTAAAATGCATTTTACTATGGCCATGGATTAAAGAATATGTTATGATCCAGAAATCAATTCTTCTCCTTATCATTTTATTTCCAAGGCTCTGTTTCTGTGACTAGTATAGATCTTTACTAGAAGAGAAAAGAGCTCTGAATTATATGTTTTTTACTTTTTGTAGATAGTTTTACAAGTCACGTGTGGGGATCTGAAGTGTTTAGCAGAGTATAAGGAGGTGAATAAATTACTGTTCAATTAGACCAAAAGATACTGCTGAAAGGTACTTGTAACGAGTTAATTGCAAGGGCCAAAGCTGTGCTGGCAACAGCTTGGTTAAACATGTGGTTAACGATGTTATAGGAAGAAGAGGTATGTAAAATATTAAACTGTGCTAGCAGTAAATATTAATTTTATGTGACAGCAATAGTGTCTTCCTGAGACTGATATGTGACATGCAAAAGCCCTGTAATTATTTTAACATCCTTACTTATCAGTGATTTTAATGATATGACAAAGATTTGAGGTGTTTGCTGAAACAGCACTACTGTCATTTACTATCAGTCAAACAAAATGTCATTCTAATTCACTTCACTGTTAAAGTCTGAGTAGTTTTCGTACCGATGAAGTACAGCTGTGAAGGGTACGTTCTCCCTGGCTTTTGTAATTAAAGAAAATCAAAATGGCAGAGATTCTCTGGAAACATTTATTAGGACATACATAAGACAGAGAAGTATTTGAGTAGTGATTTTGCCATCAGAAGAAAGCAGCTTTATAAAAATAGATGTGATTTCAAAGAATCATAGAACCATGAAGGTTGGAAGAGACCACTGAGGTCACTGGGTCCAACCGCCAACCCATCCTCATCATGTGCCCACTAACCATGTCCCTCAGTGCCACTTCCCCATGGTTCTTGAACACCTCCAGGGATGGTGACTGCACCACCTCCCTGGGCAGCCTGTGCCACTGCAGCACCGCTCTTTCTGGGAAGATACTTTTCCTAATATCCAACCTGAAATGACTTCATACCTTAAACTTAATTACGAGACAGATAAAACAAGTAGTGCCCCATGTAGCTGATTACTTAGTGCTTCTCATTACAAGTTTCTTCAATCACTAGAAGATGTTGCCAAGTTTGAAGCCATTCAGGATGAGGATTTCCGTACCAGGTGCCTGCCGCAGGCTGGAGTATTTTGGAAAGCTTCTTCTAAAATTTAGCCATTTCAGAAACAATGTACCAGAGAAAGTAAATTTCCTTGCCTAACATTATCCCATCCCCCCCATTTGTTCCTGGAACCTCTGTTGCTTTTGGAGCAGGAACTTGAAATGGTGCAGAAACCACCCCATTGTCCCAGGCCGTGCCTTTGATGAGCCTCTAAGATTTGCCCAAATTTGTCCCCCATACAGAGGAGGTTCTCAAGTTACAGCTTGTCAGCGGGGCTGTGCTCACTGACTGCACACATTTCTGATTTGCTGAGTCCATTATGCTAATCTAAACCACCTTGATAGGAGCTGCTATTACAGAGCTGCTCAGTGCATTGCCGGCACGCCAACACGCCTCAGCTCAGCGGGAGGCGGCCGCTCTGCTGGCAGAGCCTTCCCTGCCATAGGGCACCCCTCGGTTTGCACCAGCAGCTCAGCAGCTATGTTCCCTGTGTGTCCCCTCTCTGAAGGCAGAACCGAACAGAGCTGTGCCTCTCGGTGTTGCTTTTCCCATCCCCATGTGGGTCAGTGCAGACTAAGAAAGTTGTTGGTTAAGGATGGAGAGAAGGCTGCCGACAGATGAGGGGAGATCAGATACAAGCAGGGGATGAACAGGAGGAGGGCAGCAGGAGCTGCTGAGAAGTGCAACAGGAACTGGGTTGGGGGGGGGAGGGGAGGGAAGTGGCAATTTGTGCCACATACAGCAGTGGATTTCAGCTGGAGAGGAACTGGAGCTTTGCCTGTACTCACCCCCCCAGCATCCACAGCTCATTTCAGGAGTCAAGAACGTTCCTTTGGGACCAGAGAGTCATCTCAGGAACACAGCATCTCTACTTTGCAGTCAGCACAATTCAGTGTAACCACCTGTCATGAACACAGAGCAGAGTCAAGTCAGAAACTTTGACACAGGGTACACTCAAAGCGTTACTTGCTCTTGTAATCTGTGTACATGTCACTGAGAGTCTGCAATATGATTCATAAGAAAGCAATCTCAGTAGACTGGTAGTATAAAACTGTGGCTAATACTTAGAGTTATAGAACTGTATGATCATTTGTGTTGGAAGCAACCCTTAAAGGTTACCCTTAAAAGTTACCTTAAAGGTCCAGCTCCTCTGCAGTAAGCAGGGACACCTACAGCTAAATCAGGTGCTCTGTGCCAGGTCCCACCTGGCCTTGAATGTCCCCAAGGATGAGGCTTCCACCATGCCTCTGGGAGACTTGTTCCAGTGCCTCAGCTCTGTCATAGTAGAACACTTCTTCCTTATACCCAATCTAAATCTTTCTACATTTAGTTTGAAATCATTTCCCCTTGTCCTGTCGCAACAGATAGGACTTTTGCTGAAGTGTCTGTTCTTTCTTACAGCCCCCCCCTTCAGATACTGAAAGTCAGCAATCAGGTCTCCTCAGAGCCTTCTCTTCTCCAGGCTGAACAGCCCCAGCTCTCTCAGCCTATCCTTGTAGGGGAGGTGTTCCATCCCTGGGACATCTTTGTGGCCCCTCTCTGGACACGCTCCAACAGCAATATGTCTCTCTTGTACTGAAGACTCCACATCTGGATGCAGAACTCCAGGTGAGGTCTCAGCAGCTCAGAGCAGAGGGACTGGATCACCTCCCCCACCTTGCTGAGCGCGCTGCTTTGGACGCAGCCCAGGATACGGTCGGCTTTCTGGGCTGCGGGGACACATTGCTGGCTCCTGTCCACAAGCACTCCCAGGTCCTTTCCGGCAGGGCTGCGATCCATCCTTACATCCCCCACCACGGTCACCCTGGGCACGGCACCTGAGTCCCGCGCTCGGCGTCACCCATTCTCCGGGTAAAAACCCCGCCGTATCCCAGCAGCGCGGGGCGCGGAGCGCCTCGGGACCGCCCCATCCCGGCCGCGCGGTGGCGGACCCCTCCGCCGTCCCGGTGCGGGGCGGGGCCTCCCGGCGCTGTGACTCACCCCGGCCCGCCCCGTGCTGCGCTGTGCCAACGGAGGTGGGACCGTCCGAGGCCGCGCCCCCGCCCCGCGCTGCCGGCAACCCCCCCCCCCTCCCTCCCGGCACGGACTGCAATGATTTAGAAGTTCAGGAATCCCACGTGACGTCACGGAGGGTGATGTAATGCTTCTCTAAATAGAACGTATTGTAACCTTCCCTCAGTCCAACGTGGTTCCTCCGGCCGCGCTGCCGGTCCCGTCCCCGCCGCGCCGCGCTGCGCCGGGCGGTAAGTTCCTAAAAACGCAGGGTTGCCCCGGGAAGGCGCTCGGCGCGGCGCGGCACGGAGCGAGAGCTGCGGAGCTGGGGAAGGGGCAGCCCCGCGCCCGGGGACGCTTTTCCCCACTGCCGGGAGCCGCACGGGTCGGTGCCCGCCGCCGCCTCCGCTGCTCCGCCGGGACGGTGCGGGGTGAGGGGCGTGCGCGGAGCCGGACGGGGCAACGTCCGGGACGGGCATGGCACGGAGCGGGATGCTGCGGGATGGGATGCCGTGCGATGGGATGGGGAAGGGGCGCGGGCAGCGTCTCCCCGAGCGGGATGCGGGCGCAGCTCCGCGTCTCCGCGCTTCCCGGCGGTGACAGCTTCCCCGCCGCTTTGCAAAGTTGCGGACGAGTCGGGCGGCCGGGACTCGCAGCCCCTCCGGTGGGCGCAGAGTTCGGTGCGCCGCCGCTGCCGGAGGGCCGGTGCAGCGCTGCTGCTCCGCTTGGGATGCGCTGTCCCCCCGCTGCACCGTCCGCCGCTGCCGGCTCTCACGGGGCTCTCTCTCTCCCCAGCGAAGTTTGCAGGACGCTCGGAGCTTCGGGAGTATAAGGGGAATACTTGCTAAATTCTGCCTGCTCTATTATTTATGTCCCGGCATGGTGAGTGATCCTTCATCTCCGGGGCTTTCTCGCTTTGAGAGAGGTCGTGCAGAGGCGGGGGTAGGGATAAAGGAACGTCCCTATGTTAAAGTCCAGAGCGATGTTTGGAGTGCGCTCAGCAGCCCGATGAGATTTCCCTGTTTTTTCGGTGTTTAGCTAGGGGAGGTTCGAGAGGGAAGAGCGGGCTGCTCAGTGAGGAGCGGCACCTCCGGGCTGCCTTGCGCGGCTCTCAGAGCCCCCAGCCCGGCGCCGTGCTCCGGCCCTTCCCCGTCCGAGCAACGCGCTGTGCGTCGGGAGACAGCGGCGGAGGAAAAGTTTGTAAGAAAGTGTCACTCAGAAATAAGCCAGAAACCGCGCAGAAAAAGAACTGGGAGTCGGAGAGTGAGGGCTGGATGCAAGCGCACCGCCTAAATTACGGGACGGGGAACGGGGGGGTTGCTGAAAGACGGTCGGCTTTCAGCAGGAGTGTCGTTGAAAGTCGTCGCTTTGGTATTTTGTAACTTTCATGCGGTGAATGCGGTTGCCGTTTTCAAAAGCTGGAAGTTCTTTAAGAGAAATGGCTGAGATCCTTATTTGTGACTCCTTAATCCCGAAGGGAGCTGTGCGGGTCGCAAAGCACCGGGGAGAAGTGTGATTAATGATCGGTGATTAGCGATAAGTGATTAGTGGTTTTATTCAAACTGTTACCTCTGACCAGAAGCACGCATCAGAGGATTAACGGGCTCTTTAGATAAATGCTCATTAGTGGAAGGGGGAAAGCAGAGATAATAGGCATGCACACAGGGACAACTTTCTAGGAAAATCAGTCCCGTCTCTGGCATAATAAGCTCTATTAGCAGAGGGGCGCTTTAATTTAAAAGTTGCTTTTATCTTGTAAATCAAAGATGGATGCAGAAGTTCGCCGATCTATTATAGCCTAAATTTTCCCATATCCACTAGATGTGGATTATCTCAGTAGTGATACCTTATTAAAAAAGAAGAAAAGAAAAGAAAACACACCATGCAAACCAATGGCATCTTTGAGAGCCGCAGCCCCTCATCCCGCGGCGCCCGTCCACCCGTCCATCCATCCATCCATCCATCCATCCATCCATCCATCCATCCATCCCTCCATCCCTCCATCCCTCCCGCGGGCGGAGCGAACTAGAGGGCGCAGCGCTGCGCTGGGTTCTGATGCCAGCAAGTTGCAGCTTGCGAGGTGTCCTTCAGCACTCCCCACAAAGTTGGTTCCGTGCTGGGTTGGAGGCTAGACAGCGCTACAAGTCTGTAGTCACTTTTTCCACCGTCGGTTAATCTGGGGAGTTAAAGGCTATTGGAAAAATTAGGCTCATTTACTCGCAGCCACAGGGAGCGAGGGAGAGGGGCAAACGCTGCAGCCTAGGACCTGACTCCTGATTGTGCTGTTTTCCACTGATTTAAAGAAGCCCCGTTCTGATGGCCTTCATTGCTGAAGCCTGAAAGCTCTTGGTAGTTTCCTTCCAGCTATCACTGTGAAGGGAGGTGGGGTTTTTTATTATTTTTAAAGTCACTAAATAGAAAGAGCAGTTGGCGGTGGTTGAACAAAACGGCTTGGACCTGACTGTGCTCTACAAATAATGGTAAGGAGCCTCTTTCTATGATAACTAACTAGGATTTCTCCTTAGTCTGTATCGTGCATGGCTCGTGTAGAACCTGTGCCTACTGCTGCCCACAGGCTTTGGGACATTTCTGCTGCCCCATTTGCTTAAATGGGATTTATGTTTGCTTGCATCTGCTGAGATCGTAAAAGTTTCAAAACTTTAAATGAAACACTTGAGTGAACCAGGAAATAGAAATAATGAGTTTACGGCTTAAAAAAAGAAACTGCAGTCTCTAGTTGTTACAGTTTTGATTGGAGACTTGCAGACCGATGCTTGAAATCAGAAGGTTTCACAAGAGCACATATAAAAGGCAATAAGCTCTGTTTGCCACTCTTGGATATTGGGTGGCACTCTTCCAGAAGTTAAAATCATGGTATTTTTAAAGCCTTCTGCATTTTGGACGGTCAGAACCCTCTGTCCCTCATCAAAGCAGACGTTTAGACTTTAGCCTCAATTAATTGAACTCTACCTCCGCTAATTCAAGCTGAGTTATATAAAGGGAAGCAAACTTTGTATGTGGATGAATAGGAAAAAGAGGAGCGAGATTGTGCTTGCCATTTTATACGTATTTATAATACCATTTATCAGAATGACAGGTAAAGAGCAGTACGTGCTTTTTAATTTGATCTTCACTTCCTCACTTTGAGAATCTCAAATATGCTGCAACCGCTCACATTTACCCCGGGCACTTCGGAGGGGTCTTCTGTAAGAGATTACTTCTGGCAGAGCGGGAGTTCACTCTGGAGTTGATAAAGCAGAGGAAATCTCAGATTGCCTTCAGAAGGTAACTTTAAGTACTGAAACTTCTGGCTTTGTGTGGGCAGAGCCTTCCCTGCCATCAGTGAGAATCACAGAATGATTTGAGACTCAGCAACCCACCTGCTCTGTAAAAACCTGAGACCCCAACCAAGGCAGCAGGGTCTTCAGTATTAGAGGAGCTCCTGAAATGGGTGTTGTTGCTTCTAAAGTGCTTCATTTAATCAAAGACATTCCCCCCAGTCTTAGTCATTCCTTGTCTCTAATTTTTGCTGTTAGCTAACTTTTGGGATTTTCTATGAACCTGTTGCTTTCAGGACTTAGTCCTTTCCTTATATCCTATTAGCCATCTTTAAAGAAAAATATTTCTGGACAGGATTTTCCAGTAAAAAAAAGAAAACCATTTCAGCTTTTTAATTAGTAAGGACGGTGTGATTTGTACTTGGAGCTAAGCAGTACATTTTCTCAGGGCCCACAAATACAGACTTTTCTTGCAACTTGTTACAAGACAGCCATGTTCAGTAGAAGCAGCTGCTTGAATCACAGATGCATGTGTGAAGCAACAGGTCTGGCAGTTCCGCTTCGAACATCCAAGCAGTTCTTCTGTTTTGGTGCTGGCATCCCATATTAACCAATTTAATAAGTAGACATATCTATATAATTAAGAGAGCTTATTTGGCTTAGTATTTCATGCACTGCACTCTCACTGCACTGAACACACATGAGTCCTAGTGGAAATATTTGCAACGCTTAGAGTTTCAGTCAGTCGTGGGCACTCAATGCCAGGGCTGATCAGGGAGCCCAGTGTGTTGCTGCCACTTCTGCACCACCTCACAGTGATTCCTGTTGCTTTGCCCCCTCCATATCACTGTTCATCCCCCGAAAAAGATGATTTATAGATAAACAGTGCTCTAGGGTTTATTTATAAATACCTCTCAAATACCTTCAAATACCTCTCTGTTTTGGGGTCTTCTGCCTCGAAAAATGCTTAAAGTTGATCACCAAATTAATGCAACAGTTCAGAGTAAGAACTATGAGAACACTTTTCCTCTTGTTAAAAATTGCTTTACTGCGTTAAGTTGAAATTTTGATGGCGTAGTATTCTTTGATACAGACAAAACAATGATCTCAGTATCTTACCGTGCCGCATTTGAACGTGAGCCATACTGCAGGAGTAAATGCCGAAATCAGCTTTTGTAGACTTGACACGTGAAAACAGAGTGCTGTTACGGAAATACTTGTTGTTGTTGTTGTTGTAGTACTCAAAGAAGCAATTCAAATCATCTCAGGTACACATAACAAGCACACATAACGTACACACGGCAATTATGGCAGGGATGCAACAAAAGGACTTGTTGGAGCAGAAAGCTGTTGCGCCCTGTTGCATCCAGGAGCTGTTCTGCTGCTCCGTGCGCTGTTTGCTCTCGTTGTGCCTCAGGTTGAAGGGGCAACCCTGGTACTTTCAAATAATACTGTGCCTACTATATTACATTCATGTATTATTTTACTCTGTAATTAAAACTGGGGAGAGTCAGCATTTTTTTTTATTAGCTGCGACATGGGAAATGCAGCTGTTATTTGGCTTTCGAGAGTTTCAGAAGGGTTGCTTGCACTGCTTTGTAGGTTTCTAGATGGTGATATCAAATGCTATTTTATAAACACGGGGAGATTTTCCAAGGATTTTGCTGAAGGCTGTAGGATTTTCGAAGTAAAACACTGAAAGCTTACTACAATTTCCTTAGCTTAAAAGATGTTTTGCTTTTGGTTCTTGTTTCCATCCCCTCTTTTTTGAGAATTTGTTCCAGAAGTCAGTCGTGCAACTTCCAAATAGATGCCTCTGAACGTTGCAATTAGCGCTGTTTGTGTAGGTGTCCTGCTTTTTTAATCCATCTTTTGAGGCAGGTGGTGTCACCATCATGACACTGTTCCCTGTAAGCAAATGTGAAGGTACAGGGTTCAGCCATAGTGCTGCACTCCGTGGGTGATGGAAAGGGCAATGTCTTTAGAAGAAGAAGGGAAGAAGGAGATTCAAATTTAATTGGGGGAAAATACTACAAATCCTCTGCTGCCTTTGCCAGAACTGGGAGTCAGTGCTGCTTTTCTTTGGCTTTGAATGCTTTCGTTACTT